TCTTGGAGGGGGTCATGGCAGATGTAACGAGGACATAACACAGTATAGTGGAACCTTAGTTCAAGGGCTAGTGTCCATGTAAGGGACAGGGAAACTGGGACACAGACAGATGCAGATGAGGATGGCCAGGAGAGAGGAGGAGTGGTGGAGCCAAGGAATGCGGCTCCCAACATCTGGAAGAGGCAAAGCAGGTTCTTACCTTAGAAGCTTCAGATGAACATGACCCAGGCAAGCCTCACCTTCAGACTTCTGGCCTCCAAGGCAGGCCAGGAAGCAACAGTTTCTGTGTTTAACGCCATGTAAGATTTGGGGGCGGCAGATTTTGTGGTGGCAGATTTAGAAAACCAGTGCAGTGTCCAGTGTGATCCAGTCCTTTGTGTAGGGGACCAGGCATTTATTTATTTATTTATTTATTTATTTATTTATTTATTTATTTCGAGACAGGGTTTCTCTGTAGCTTTGAGGCTGTCCTGGAACTTGCTCCGTAGACCAGGCTGATCTTGAACTCACAGAGATAGAGATGCCCCTGCCTTTGCCTCCTGAGTGCTGGGATTAAAGGTGTGCGCGATCATTGCTGCATCAGGACCAGGTCTTAGAGTACAAATTTGACACTTCAGGACTTACCCATGGAAAGACGAATCACAGTGTATGGGGCAGATACCCTGAAATGGTATCCATCTAGTCCCCTAGGCCTGGGACAAACATAGTCTCTCTACTCTCCTCTTTCTTCTTTTCTGGTTTCCCTTTAACATATTTAGCTCTTTTACCTTCTGCAATGTTCTGTGGTGTTGGTATAAGATACAAATCAGGGGCTGGAGAGATGGCTCAGTGGTTAAGAGCACTGACTGCTCTACTAGGGGACCTGGGTTCAAGTCCCCCATATGGCAGCTCACAACTGTCTATAATTCCACTTCCAGGGGACCCAACGCCCATGGCGAAACACCAATGCACATAAAATAAATTTTTAAAATAGAAATCGTTTGTCTTCCATACTGCAATCCATTTATCTAATGACTTCCTTCTATTAGTGTTCCTCTTAGTGCCATGTTGCATTTCCTTTATTAAATGTTGGGAAATTATTTTTGGAATCTCTAGACTCTGTACCTCTGGTCGGCTCCTGTCATGGAATGAGAAGACTCTGAGGTTTGCAGGTTTTTTTGGAGGGTGGGGTGGGATGTTGATGCTAGGATTTCATGACTGCTGCCCAAGGACTCCACCCCTGAGCTACATCTTCCAGCAACTCTGCAAGCATCTCCTTGTTTTATGCCTTTGTCTAAACGCCTTATCTATAGCAACCTGAAATACCCATTTCCTATAAACATACTCTGGAGAGAGTAGGGGTGTTTATAAAAAGGTTCTGAGTTTTTTAAAAGCACACTAGATTTTCTGGTGGAAGTAGCTGTGCTGTACCCTACCCCACCCCTTTTCCTTTGTGAAAGTCTATTATGTTGCTCAGGCTGGTCTTGAACTCCTGGCTTCTTGACTAGCTGAAACTCCAGGCTCACCACTGTGCCCAGCCTGTTTCTCTTTTTGAGACTGATCTTGGTCCTGTTCACGAATCTGGCCTTATGACTACTTAAAACAATGAAACCTGCATACCCACCTTCACAGTTAAGTGTGTACACACAGGAAGCACTCTTCATGTTGGATGATAGTTAGAGATGACCAGAGAATTCCTACTTCATTCTTGCCAGTAGCCAACTCTGTTCATCCTCTGCCTTCCTCACCATAAGTCACACATAAGACTAGAAAAGGGATTTGTGACAAGCTAGCCAACGGCCACCCCCAACATGTCTGTCTGAAGCCCTACAGTGTTTATATATCACACTTTATATGGTGAAAGGAACTTTGGGGATGTGGTTGAATTAAGGATTTTCACTTCTTTACATTTGTTACTTTATTTTGTGTGGCACACATACACAGAGAGACATTCTCTGGCTTATGTGTGGCAGTCAGGGGCTATCTTACAAAAGTAAGTTCTTTCCTTCTACTGTTTGGTTCTTGGCATCCAACTCAGGCTTGGCAGCAAGTGCCTTTACCCTCTGAGCTATTTAACTGGCCCCATGTTAAGGATTTAAAAAATGGGACAGTCGTCATCCTGTAGAATCACAAAGCCCTATAAGAAGGTGGTAGGAGAGTTGGAAAAAAAAAAAAGGAGAGGAAAGGGGCATGCCAAGGACCCCATGTAGCCTCTGGAAGCTAGAGAGAGAAAAAAAAGATGCTTCCCTAGAGCCTCCAAAATGTTGAATCCTAATCACAATTTGATTCTAGCTCAACCAGACTCATTTGGGACTGCTGTTTTCTATATGGAATGATAACAAATTGATGTTCTTTTAAAACACTAAACTATGGTAATCTGTTGAAAAAGAAAACAGATAGGAGGCAGAGGCAGGTAGATCACTGTGAATTTGAGGCCAACCTGGTCTACATGATGTTGAGTCAATGAAACATTGTCTCAAACATGAAAGAGAGAAGTAGGGGAGAAAGATAAAAGAAGACCCTGTTTAACTATAGAGTATGAACCTAGTGGCATTCTTCTTGCTATGCCATCCAGCCAGGTTTCCACCAACTGCTGGTCTTATTTATTTATGTTTTATTATTGTTTTTTGTTTTTTGAGACAGCGTTTCTCTGAGTAACAGCCCTAGTTGTCCTGGAACCCCCTTTGTATGCCAAGGTGGCCTCACAGAGATCCACCTGCCTCTGCCTCCCAAGTGTTGGGATTACAGGGGTTCGACATCACTGCCCAGCCCAACTTGTGGTCTTGAGTTCAACTTCTGACAGGGTAGCTCGACTTCAGTAGTCAGTGAAGGATCCCCACTGGATCTTCACTCACCTTTGGGTTCTTTTAATTTTTACTTTTTAAAAAGTGATTTGTTTTTATTTTACATGTGTTTATATGTTTTGCTTACCTACATGTCTGTGTGATGGTGTTGGATCCCCAGGAACTGAAGTTACAGACAGTTGTGAGCTGCCAGTTGGGTGCTGGGAATTGAAACTGGATCCCCTGGAAGAACAGCCAGTGCTCTTGACTGTTGAGCCATCTCTCCAGCCCCTAATTTTTACTTTTTATTTGATTAGCTGTTCCAATATACTAATGTTAAGCCCTCCTGATTTACTTAGGTTACTAGCAAATATGTAGAAATTTAGCTGAAGAAAAGAGAGAAAGGAAGGAAGGAAGGAAGGAAGGAAGGAAGGAAGGAAGGAAGGAAGAAATCCTTGTTTAGCAGGGCAGTGGTCCCAGCACTCTGGAGGCAGAGGCAGGAGGATCTCTGTGAGTTTGAGGCCAGCTTGGTCCAGAGCTGTTACACAAAGAAGCTCTCTCTCAAAAACAAAACAAAAATCCAAAACAAAAGTTGTTTAATCAAGGAGACATTTTCTGTCCTAGAAAAGGGGAGCTCGGGGGTGAGGGTGAGGGTGAGGGCACACACTTGAATTTAGCCAGAATTGTTGAGCTGTGTTTCTGAACATTTTTTATTCATTTCGGTTCTTTCTTTCTTTCTTTTTTTTTTTTTTTTTTCTTTCTTGACAGGGTTTCTCTGTAGCTTTGGTTCCTGTCCTGGAACTCACACTGTAGACAAGGTTGGCCTTGAACTCACAGAGATCCGCCTGTCCCTACCTCCTGAGTGCTGGGATTAAAGGCGTGTGCCACCACCGCCAGACTATTCACCGAGTTTTAAGTCTAGGGGCACTGGCAGAAATTGGAGATCCCTAATCCAAGCGGAACCCACCTCGGGTGAGCTACTGGAAGCTGCAGTGCCCGGGAATACACACCACCCGAACCCCTAACTCGAGAATCATACTCTGGGTCCATGTCGTTGAAAGAAGAAAAAGGATAAAATGCATGTTTGGGGCACTACTAGAGAATGACACCTTACCATGAAAGTGTACTTTTTCCACTCTTCTCCCTCGGAATAAAAGGCGCTTGCTCGTAATCTTATAAATTTCTTTTCGTTGTTTCGAGTTGGGCGCTAAACATTGGCCTAGGCCCCAGGCGCCTGTTGGAAAAGCGGCCGCGCAGGCGCAGAAGGCTGGCAGAGGATGGAGAGAGGCGGGG